TGGACTGTTATATTATTTTTATCTATAGTGGGACATCTCACCACATCTTAACCCTTGATTATTACAATAGTTATTTATTGGTTCTTTAGTTTCACTGACAATCCCCTTACCTCTATACAACTATCAAAATTATCTCTTTAAAGAAAAATAAGGCATGATTTTTAAACTCATTTTATCCAGCTTTTACCTGCTAAGTACATCTATAAGCCCTGGAAAAATTGCAAAAGGAAGCCAAAGGATAATTATAAAAATGGGAAAGAAGTCAAACTGGTTAGGAACCTCAGGAGGAGAGAAACAGGATAGGGCAATGACTGGGCATCTTACTACCCTCTACCCAACAGAAGAAAATAACAGAGGACAGCATTTCTCAGAGCCCAAACTATCAACACAAAGTGGTCCAGGCAGTCCCATTCTCTCTTGGATCAGAATCCTGCCAACAAAACCAGGTAAGCCCACCACCACTGTCAAGGGGAATTGATCTAGAGCCATGCTAGTAATGGACGACCAGGGTCAGTGCTCTCCTTTTCCATGAGATGGAGATTACTCTCCCATACTGAGTGACACCAAGTGGTCAGGCATTCTACCACAACAAGCTGCCTGGCCTGGGATGTGCTTTTGGTCCTTATAGGCCAGAGACTCCCTTTCCCTGCCTAGATGCACCAGGTGACCCAGCAAGAGGAAACTCCTTTTGCCACACCAGGAAAGGACAGCAAGGGGTCTCAGTCTCACCAAATAAACTAAGCAGACCAAACTAATAAGATAAAACCTCTGAAAATTAAACTACCTTTGGAATCACAGTCAGCAAAATAACATGGACCTGCAGGCTAAACCTGAACAGGAAGACAGCATACTATAATAAAATGTTTAAATAGGACCTAAAATCCCCTAACATTATATCCAAAATGTCCAGGATACAATAGAAAAAAACTCATCATCACAAGAACCAGGAATATTTTAACTTGAATCAGAAAAGACAATCAAATAGTGCCAACACAAATTAATCAGATGTTGGAATTGTATGACAAGGGTTTTAATGCAGTCATATTAAAAATTCTTCTAGAAGCCTTTACAAATATTCTTGAAACAAACAAAAAATAGAAAACCTCAGCAAAGAACTAGAAGTAATAAAAAGATCCAAATGTAAATAACATAACTGAAAGATCCAATAATGAAAATGAAAACTTGCTGGATGGGTCAACAGCAGAATAGAGATAACAGAGGGCAGAATCAGTGAGTTTGAAGACAATTGACAGACTTTGCCTACTCTGTACAACAGGGAGAAAATAGAGTAGAAGAAAGAAAGAAATGACAGAAAGAGAGAAGGAGAAAAGGAGCCTTAGGGACCTGAGGGGAAATAATAAAAGATTCATCATTTGTATCATTGTAATCCTAAAAGGTTACAAGACATTGGGGCTGAAAGAGCATTTAAAGAAATAATGGCTGAAATGTCCCAAATTTGGTGAAAGATATAAGCCTATGAATTCAAGAAGCTGAGTAAACCCTGAGTAGGATTAACCCTAAAAACATCCATGTTACAGCACATCATAATTAAACTTGTAATATCTAAAGGCAAAGAAAAAATCTTAAAATCAGTCAGAGGGAAATGACAGATTATCTAGAGTGGAAGATCAACTCAAATGGTGGTAAATTTTTTGTCTCAAACCATGGAGGCCGGGACAAAGTGGGACATCATTTTCAAGTGCTGACAGGAAAGAACTGTCAACTGAATTCTACATCTGGTGAAACTATACTTCAGGATGAAGAGAAATAAAGACTTTCTCAGATATTGGGAAAGGAAAAGAATCTTTGCTAACAGACCTACTCTTAATTGGTTATCGGAAGTCCATCAAACAGAAGGAAAATTATAAAGGAAGGAATTTCTGAACATCAAGGGGGAAGAGAGAACAGAAGAAAAGCAGAAATATGAGTACATACAATTGATTGTACTTTTCTTGAGTTTTATGAATCCTATTTGATGATTGAAACAAAAATTAAAACACTACCTAATACTCAAGAAAATGATGTTTAAAAGTAGGGAAAATAGAAGGATCTAAATGGAAGCTAAATTTGAATATTTTACTTGAAGTGGTAAAATAGTGATAAAAGTAACTACGACAAGACATATGCATATTCCAAGACCCAGAGCAAACACTAAAAAAGCAATATAAACAGGCATACTCAAAAACCCTATAAATAAATCAAGATGGAATTTTTAAAAATATTTGTTATCCACAGGAAGGCAAAAGAAAATAAAAATAGGAAATGAGAAATGGAATAAACAGCAAACAAATAATAAATGACAAGCTTACATATAATAATGACCATATTATATGCACTAACATATGAATAATTACCATAAATGTAAATGATCTAAATATAACAATCAAAAAGCAGAGATTAGAAGGATGGAGAAAAAGAAACAATCCAACTATATATTGTTTAAAAAAAAAACCACATCAAATTGAATAACATAGTTAGGTTGAAAGTAAAAGGATGAAAAGAGATATACCACACAAACATTGATTTTAAAAAAGGAGTGGGTATATTTATATCAGATAAAGTAGACTTCAGAGAAAGAAAATTATTAGAGACAAAGAAAGACACTGCATGATGTGAAAGACAAATCCACCAAGAAGACAGAATAATCCTAAACTAGTACCAAAAAGCAGAGCCTCAAAAGACATTAAGCAAATACCAATAAGAGTTGAAAGAAAAACAAACAAATCTGTAATGGTAGTTGAGGACATAAACACCTCCCTCTCAGTCTGATATGACTGCTAGACAGAAAATCAACAAGTGTTTACAAGAGCTAGATAACATCATTAACCAACAGAATCTAATAGACCATGTTTGAACACTCCACTTTAAAACATCAGAATATACTACATTCATTTTTCAAGTGCCTATGGAATATTTACCCAGATATATCATATCCTGGGCCATCACACAAACCTCAACAAACTTAGAAGAATTTAAATAATAAATTGTATGCTTTTAAGAAATTAGAAATTAATAACAAAGATAGCAAGAAAATATCTTACACACTAGGAAATTTAACAACACACTTCTAAAAATTCACGAGCCAAAGAAGTCTTAAAGTAGTTACATAATATATAGAACTGAATGAAAATGAAAATATAACATATAAAAATAAGAGGGATATAGTTAAAGTGGTGTCGAGAGGTAAGTTTGTAACAATAAATGCTTATACCAAAAAAGAGGAGCTATCTCAAATTAAAAATCCTACCTCAAGAAACTGGAAATAGAAGAGCAAGATAAATTCAAAGCAAAGAGAATAAAATAAAGATGAAAGCAGAAATCAATAAAATGTAAACAGAAAAACAACAGAGAAAATCAATGAGACAAAAATATGATTCTTTGAAAAATCAGTACAACTGATAAGCCTCTAGCTAGTGTGACAGAAATGAAGAGAGAAGATGCAAATTACCAATACCAGGCATGAAATGGAAAATATCACCAAAGATCTGAGAGCCTTGAAAAGGATAATAAGGAAATGGAATGAACACCTTTTTACTTATAAATTTGACAATTTAAAAGAGAGAGACCAGGGCGCCTGGGTGGCTCATTTGGTTAAGTGACTGCCTTCGGCTCAGGTCATGATCCTGGAGTCCCGAGATCAAGTCCTGCATTGTGCTCCCTGCTCAGCAGAAAGCCTGCTTCTCCCTTTGACCCTCCCCCTTCTCATGTGCTCTCTCTCTCTCTCTTCCATTCTCTCTCTGTCAAATAAATAAATAAAATCTTAAAACAAAGAAGAGACCAATTCCTCAAAAACCATAAACTAAATTTACCTAATATGAAACTGTAATTTGAATAGTCCTATAATCACTAAAGAAATTGAACTTTTAATTAAAAATCTCCTGAAAAAGAAATCTCTAGGCCCAGCTGGTTTCACTGGAGAATTCTATCAAATTACTTATGGAGGAATTCATGACTTTATACAACCTCTTCTAGACGATGAAAGGGGAAGAAATACTTCCAAACTCATTTTATGAGGGTAGTACTATCCTGATACTGACTAGTACAAAGATAATTCAAAAAAAAGAAAGAAAGAAAGAAAGAAACTGCAGGTCAATATCTGCCATGAACTTAAAAACAAACATTATTGACAAAATATTAGTACACTGAATCCAACAATGTATTAAAAAGAACTAGATAGCATGACCAAATGAGTTTTATTCCAGGTATGCAAGCCTGGTTCAACATTTGGAATTCAATCAGAGCAATCCACCATATCAACAGGCTAGAAGACAAATCATATGATCATATCAACTGCCACAGAAAAGAGTATTTGATAAAATCCAACACCAATTCACAGTAGAAACTCTCAGCAAGGTAAGAATAGAAGGAATTATCTCAACCTGATTTAGAAAAATACAATAACTATACAGCTAACATCATACTTAATAGTGAACACTTCCCCTTAAGAATTCAAACCATGCAAAAATACTCATTCTCATCACTCATTCAATATAGTACTGAAAGTTCTAGCTAGTGCAATAAGGAAAGAAAAAGAAACAAAGGGCATATAGATCAAACAAAAAAATAAAGTAAAAATTCCTTTATTTGCAGATGGCATGATTATCTTTGCAGAAAACCCAAGACATCTATAAAAAAGTTCCTAGAATTAATATGTGAGTTTGGCAAGATTGCAGAATACAAGATCAACACACAAAAATCAATCGCATTACTATATAACAATGAGCCCAAGGACACCAAAATTAAACACACAATACCATTAACAGTCAATGCAAATAAAATAAAATAAAACATTGTTTAGGATCTATACACAGAAACTTACTACAAAAAGCCATTGAAAGAAATCAAAGAAGACAAACAGAGACAATCCAATTAGAAAAGAAGCAAAAGAGATGAACAACATTTCACCTAAGAGGATATACAGATGTTGTATAAACAAATGAAAAGTTATTCCACATCATTAGCTGTTAGGGAAATGCAAATTTAAACTACAATGAAAGTTCTTGCTTTGGCAGCATATATAGTAAAATTGGAATGATACAGAGGAGATTAGCATGGCTTCTGCACAAGGAAGATACACAAATTTGTGAAATGTTCTATATTTTGTCTTCTTTTTCTAATGCTTACAGATGGAAAAATTGAGGATCCAATAAGCAAAGTAACTTACCCAATTGAGGGCCATTCCAGCTTCAAGCCCTTAATTCCTCACAAACAAACAAGCAAAAAACCAAAACCCAAACTGAACCACAACAAAAAATAATGAGATATAACTAAGCACCTATCAGAATAGCTATACTTAAAAATAGTGATAACGCTAAACACTGCTGAGGATGTCATGAAACTGGATCATTCATACGTTGCTGGTAGGAATTATAATGGTACAGTCACTTTGGAAACATTTTTGCGGTTTCTTTAAAAACTAACATGAAACTAACATATAGCCCTGAAATTGCACTCTACGGGCATTTATTACAGAGAAATGAAAAGTTATACTCACACAGTAATTTGTACATGGATTTTCACTTAGCACTTTAATTGTAATAGCAAAAATCTAGATCAGCACAGATGTTCTTTACCTGGGGAAGCTTTAACAAACTGTGGTCCATCTATATCATGAAATACTACTCCACAATAGAAATTAACAAACTTACTACATGCAAAAACTTGGACAAATCAGCAGGAAATTACGCTGAGTGGAAAAGCAATCCCAAATGGATACATAGGATATAATTTTTATTTATATAGCATTTTTGAAATGACATAATATGAGAAATAGAGGAAAGATTAGTGATTCTCAGAGGTACCAACTAGGATTGGTGGTGGCTGGGGAAGGCAGAGGTGTGGGAGGGAAATGAGTGTGGTTCTAACTGGACAACCCAAGGGATCTTAAAGGTGTTCAGTATCTTGCTATGGTGGGGGCTACATGAACCTGCACAGGTGATAAAATTGAATAGACCTAAATCCACATACATGTACACACACATATGAGTGCAAGTAAAACTGGAGAATTCTGAATAATACTGGTGAATTGTAACAATGTCAGTATCTTGATTATGATATTATACTACAGTTTTTGCAATATGTTACCATTGAGGGAAAACATTGTGAAGTGTACATGAGATCCCTCTTATAAGATTATTTCTTACAACTGTATGTGATTCTAAAATTACATCAAAATTTAAAACATAGGTTTTTTTTTTTAAAAAAAAACATTGTAAGCTGAAATTAAAACCATAGTGAAAATATGATAACAAGAAATGACTGAAGTACAAGGAAACATCTATTGCTTAAGAAGTGAAAATCTGCATTATATTTTTTTTTATTTTAAAATCTCTCCTTTGTGTTTGTGTGATGACATTGTAATAGATAAAATTTGGAGACAGCTGAAAAGAAGATAAATCCCACCCAAAAGAATAGCCATTACATTTCCATATATTGATTTAAGTAAAGTAAGTAGTATAGGGACATCTGGGTAGCTCAGTCGGTTAAGCGTCTGCCTTTGCTCAGGTCATGATCCCAGCGTACTGGGGTCGAGTCCTGCATCCGGCTCCCGGCTCCGCGGGAAGCCTGCCTCTCCCTCTGCCTCTCCCCCTGCTTGTGTTCCCTTCTCACTGTGTCTCTGTCTGACAAATAAATAAATAATAAATAAATCTTTAAAAAAATTTTTTAAAGTAAAATAAGTAGTATATAAAATATAGTCACTACTTAATGATACAGGAAAATATGTATCAATCAAGAGACAGAAAATGTCCAATAACTTTCAGCTCAACATTATTTTCACAGTGAATCTCCTTCATACTCAGCAGTTCCCAATTTTTTTACACATTACAAAACACTAAGAACATTATATTTATGTGCCACATGAGACTATACAGTTACTCGTAGCCTTAGGGAACCAGTCCTTGTTCTCAGGAGACGCTGATTCCCAGCCTATCACCTTAGGACTGAAAAGATCAATATCTTCATAGAACTGTGATTTTGCACTTTGGGAACTTCTGATACAGGCTGAAATTAAAAATCTCTGTTTTCTTCTTGGATGAGGGGCTCTAAGGGATCTGTGCTCTACCTACAAGCCCAGCTTCACCTTCTTCCATTTCATGCCTCAAACTGGGAGCTCTAATAAGAAGAATTCTCTGTTCTAGTTCTCTGAACACACCAGGCCTATTGAGTCTTCTCTATTTCTACACTCACTAAGTCCTCTGCCTGGAAGTATCCTTATGCCTGATCCATCTGCCACAAACCTTTCATCCTTCTGTTACTGAGATGATTAAAAGCTTTAAAGACTAAAGCTCTTCTTAAAATTTGTGCTTAAATGCAATTTCATTTGTCAGATCAAAGTGTTGTATACAAACCTCAAAATTAACAATTATTTTGCTATATACATTCATTTACTTGACAATATCCTGACTGGACTATACCACTCTTGAAGGCAAGAAATGCAGTTTTTATCTTTTTAAATTTCATTTAATTAATTATGGGGGGAGGGCTAGTGAGGTACAAAAGACTAGGTGGTCAATACATATTTGTTGGATAAATTCATAACAAATATTTAAATAATATACATAAAGTGGCATCTACTCTGGCAGAATAACCTCTTTATTGCATCTTTGTCTAATACATAGTCCTTCTCATTACTGAATGAGAGTCATGAATTATCTCTCCAGAAAAAACACCTTTGCATAAAAATTTGCACACAATTGTCATATTCACAGATTTCCCTGTAGATGACCTAAAGTTCACTCACCATCCAGGACAGTGGATTATACCAAAAAATCTTCTGAAATGAAAAATTATTTTTCTCCTATTGGGCAAACTACTAGTATGACCTGATACTTACAGATATTCTTACTATGCACTTAGACTAGATAGACTGTACTTAAAAAATTTTCAGAAATTGGTGACTTTATTTTATGCTTAATGTATGAAGATAAAATGGTACCAAAATTATGTATTATGTGTCAAGGAAAAAGGAGTCAATTAGTACCCAATAAATTAGATATTTAACACCCTGGAATAACCCAGTATGTTATATTTTTAAATGTCTGAACCATCAAAACATGTTGTCAAGGTATTTCTTACCTTTTAAACTGATTTCACGCACTCTTGATGCTCAGAATATTTTGTTTTCAATGTGCTGAAAAGTGTATTCTATATTTATTATTTATTTTGAACATGTTCACATTTATGTCATGAGGAGAATATAAAAAAAAAATTAGGAATTACTAAAGGCATTGCAAAAGTGATTTGAACACCATTCAAATTTATTTCTACTTTTGTTAGTATCAAAGGCCCAATTGTAAATTGCTCTGATTTATTAGATCTTCAGTATATTTTTATTCCTTAGATTTTATTTTACTTTTTAAAATATCTTCACATTTAAAACTATAAGAATACAAAGATCCAAATTATCTTCTCCAACACAGGATTAATCTTAACCTTTTAGCAGTTCAATTTTTGTATTAAGGCCATAATTCTTTTGGCGTATCAATTAAATATACTGAATAATACTTTATTTTCTATTATGATGAAGCCCAAAATAAATTTCTGAGTTTTTGTTGTTGTTTATTTTTTATTTTAATTTTTAATTTTTTTTTTTCAGTTTAGGAACTCAGTACCAAAAGAGGGCCCTGATTTGAAAAGAAATATCCACAAACAAACAAACAAATCCACAAAAAATGAACAGCAAGAAACTACACTCACAGTAGAAAATGGTAAAATAGCAGAGGTAGAAATAGACCTTTAAAATACTTGTAGTTGGCATGCCTGGGTGGCTTAGTCGGTTGTGTCTGCCTTTGGTTCACATCATGATCCCAGGGTCCTAGGATCGAGTCCCACATCGTGCTCCCTGCTCAGCAAGGAGTCTGCTTCTCCCTTTCGCTCTGCCCCTCTCCCCCTGCTGGTGCTCGCTCTTTGAAATAAATAAATAATAAAATAAAATCCTTGTAGTCTTCATGATTTGTTTGACTTCAAATTTGATTTGTTTATTTTCATAGACACTGATTAATTTATATACAAATTTTTAAACACTTTATTAACCAGGACAGAAAACTCAGTTTAGAAGGTAAAACTAACAACATTCACTTTATCATCTCAGTAATTCAGTGCCCATTTGCTGTGGTGCCGATTTAATCATAGAAAGGTCTGTTAAAATATTTATAGGGTTGTAAAAAATTTGGACAGACTAATAAACTTTATAACTACAAATATCTGATGTGATATCTATCTTTTATGACTAATTACGGAAAAAATCTACTGTGTGTATTTTTTAGTTTTTTTTTTTTTTAAGATTCTACTTATTCATCTGAGAGAAAGAGAGAGTGCAGGACCAGGGAGGAGGGGCAGAGGGAGAGAGAGAGAGAAGCAGACTCCCCGCTAAATGTGGAGCCCGAAGACAAGAATGCAGGGCTCAATCTCAGGACCCAAAGGTCATGATCCTAGTCAAAGGCAGACACTTAACCAACTGAGCCACCCAGGTGTCCCTATGTGTATGTTTTTTGTTTGTGGGGTTGTATCAATTTTTTAGATCAATTACTCAACAAAAGTCACCTTTACCAAAACCAAAAAAAGTTATGTTCCAGGTTATTTATTTAAAGCCATATTTGACGGGCGTCTGGGTGGCTCAGTCTGTTGAAGGACAGACTCTTGGTTTCAGCTCATGTCATGATCTCAGAGTCGTGGGACCGAGCCCTGCTTGGTTCCACACTCAGCATGGAGTCTGCTTGAGTTTCTCTTCCTCTGCCCCTCCCCCCACTCGCACTCTCTCTCGCTCTCACTCTCTCTCAACTAAATAAATAAATCTTTAAAAAAAGATAAAGCTAACATTTGGTATAGCAAAATTCCAATATTTCTGTAGACTCTGGATTGCCTGGGGAGTTCACTGCAATGTATACAGAGCATTTTACCTATACTGGAAATCATTATATTTAGGTCAACCCACTTGTGAAATTTGTACTTATTGTCTTTTTATTTAATTTGCTAATAATGATAGGTATATATAATAAATAATTTAATTATATATTATATAAAACATATTATATATTATAATACATATATATACACACACACACACAAACATACACCGACTGCGGGTTCAGAGCCCTTTCCTT